GTGTAATGTTAGAGTAGATGATTGGTTTCCTTTTGCTGCTAAAAACAGACCAAAAATGACACATGAGTGTGTGTTGATCTGAGTGTTATTGTAGAGGTATTTCCATTGACTGGCTCATGGGTCAAAGCCCTGGGAGTGACGGAAGTTATGGAAACAGCGATGAGTATTCATTAAGTAGTTGCTCATTTAAAGGTACTGTAAAGTAGAGGCCACATCATTACAGATTCCTTAAAAGTTCTGCCTTGTCCTTCTTTTGGTCTTACTGGCCAGAGAACAAAACTGGAAACAAAATGAATTTCCTTTAATAATGAAATGTAGTACAAGTTGGAATATGATACAGCCATTTAAAAAAACTAAAATAGAAAAAAGATAAAGGTAGGTCTACATCTATGACTTGTAGGAACACCCATGGCATGATGAAAAAAAAAAAAAAAAAGTGAAGTGCAAAATAATGTTTATAGTCTGAGTGTTTTGGTGGAAACGCACCTGCTTATAGAAGTTGATCTATACAATCAGGTAGACTAAATCACCCCCAGTTCTCAGGTCCTGTGATTTTGTGTGTAAGGCCTTTTGGCTTTTGGCCCTGTTATCTGGGCCTTCAGGATGATAGTTGTACTATAGATAGATATCTTTAAGGTTGCAAAACAAATTGTTAAACCTCTGTTTCATGCCATGTGTACAAGTCATTCAGAATGCTGTGGGGAAAGTAAACTCATTTGAAAAATAGATTTAGAGTTTGGAGGTAGCTGTAAAGCTAATTCAGAAATATTGCTGAAAGGTAATTTTTATAGGTACAGCCTAAATAGTTAAAGGGTCTGTTTTAATGATCCACAGCCCTAGTGGACTTTTGGGACCAGAGACTACGTGACTTCTGATAATTTTTTAAGTGTTAGAGTTAAAATAGTTTTCAAGTATTCCTACTGGTATAAAAAATATAAAAACTGAGGTATTGCCCCATTCTGAGAAAAAGCCACTTCAGATTTATCACTCTTCTCCTCTTTTTTTAAGGGCAACCTACTTCCAAGGAGGAAAAATCATTTGTGTGTGTTTATGTGTGTTTCTGAACATTCAGCAGTCTGGGGACATCAGCGTGTAATGTTAGAGTAGATGATTGGTTTCCTTTTGCTGCTAAAAACAGACCAAAAATGACACATGAGTGTGTGTTGATCTGAGTGTTATTGTAGAGGTATTTCCATTGACTGGCTCATGGGTCAAAGCCCTGGGAGTGACGGAAGTTATGGAAACAGCGATGAGTATTCATTAAGTAGTTGCTCATTTAAAGGTACTGTAAAGTAGAGGCCACATCATTACAGATTCCTTAAAAGTTCTGCCTTGTCCTTCTTTTGGTCTTACTGGCCAGAGAACAAAACTGGAAACAAAATGAATTTCCTTTCATAAGGAAATGGTAGAACAAGTTGGAATATGATCTAACTATTTAAAAAAACACAAAAATAGAAAAAAGATAAAGGTAGGTTGACGTCTATGACTTGCAAGAACAAACCTTATGAATGTCAGACCTTAAGAAGTCAGCTTATCGTGTCAGAACAAAGTGCTATTAACATAAAAGAATTATTGAATCTTCAAGCCCATGACTTAGTCACAGGGATGTAAAGTATAGGAAATAGAGTCAATAATATTGTGATAACTGTGTATGGTGCCAGGTGAGTACTCGACTTATCGGGGGGACCACTTCATAAGTTATATAAATCTCTAACCACTGTGCTGTGCACCTGACACTAATATAAGATTGAATGGCAACTGTAATTGAAAAAAGTAAAATAGAAAAAAAGCCCTATGAGTTCGGAGGGGCCATTGACTCCTTGCTCTGATAAAAGCAGTCACACAACTTCAAGTGCAGTTGTTGTCAGAACTTGTTCTTTCTTTCTTGGTGGAGAACTTGATGGGGGTGGGGGTGGGAGGACCAGACCAAAATATTTCTTAGTGTGGCTTCAGGCACTCACTGATCATGCAAATTAGAAAGGAGTTGTTCCAACAAGAAATGGCAGAGGACTCGAAGTTCTTATGAACCTACATTTCTGGTTATATCCAATATCTATTTTTAAAACTTGGAATTAGTTTGCTTTTTACAATACTAACCTCTGTTTCTTCATTTATATCTTGTGACATAAAAGGAATTCTCTAATTGTGAGGAAAACAAGCCTGTGTCCCTAAACAAATCTGAATTGTAAAAAGACATGCAGTATTGTTATTCTCAAGTAACTTGACCGGGCCAACAAATAGTAAGAGGTCCTGGTTTATTGCACACTCTTGTCATTATTATGTGGAAACACCACTCTAAAATTATGATACAACTGCTGATTTTTCAGATGTGTCCTTTCTTATAACCAAAAAATAACCCTGAGTAGGTGTACGGTTCTACCTAACACATGCACACTGCCTGTACACACAGGGAGGCTGAAGTCCCGCCTTCGAAAACTGCCGTTTCTCACCCCAGCCTGAAATCCCCACTATTAGGTTATTTTGTTGGGTTAGGGAAAAAGCAGTAAGAATATGTCTTCTAAAAGAGCTACTAATGTAAAGGGCGGGTTCCTAATCCTATATAATAAAAGCCTAATATGCAAAGTGTCCGGTCATCCATTCAACTAATCAAAGTGTAATATGCTAATGATATGCTAAGGCTGCTCAACCACTCGCTATGACGTGCACTGACCACCAGGGGGCAGATGCTCCAACCGGTAGGTTAGCTTGCTGCTGGGGTCTGGCTGATCAGGCAAGCGAGATGGGCTGGACACGCCCTGGAGCCCTCCTACGGTCCCTCCCCAGCTGGCCAACCTCCCACGTCCCTCCCCGGCCCTGATCATGCACCGGTGGGGTCCCTCGGCCTGGCCTATGCCCTCTCACAATCCGGGCTGAGTGACTTTCATCCCCCTCCCCCCCGCCCGAGTGCATGAATTTTATGCACCAGGCCTCTAGTGGTTAAATATTAGAGCAAAAGGGACTTTGGGGAACATTGACATCAAAGCCTTTTCTGGGGCACTGGGGCCCAGAAAGTAAGTATGGACGAGGCTATGAGAAGTCCCACAGAGCGTGAGCCTTTACCATACAGTTTATTACGGTATTAGTTAGTTTCTACCATGACAGTGATAGGTGGGGTCCTCTAAAGAAAACATGTGTGGTGAGCCACAGAGGACAAAGGAGGTGCTAACAGGAGCTTCAGTGGGCAGCAAAGCTGACTCCATAGTTGTGTATCACATCCTCCTTAGGACTTAAAGATCGACCAGAAGACACCTCTGCGGGTCCTGCACCGGAGGCCCCTGGCTGTAAGAAGTCGCATCATTCACTCCATGGAGTCATGCTATGTGGATGAGCATCATTTCCGCCTCCAGCTAAAGACTCAGGCTGGAACGTATCCTTTCACCTTCTGCACAGCAGTGACCTAACCCCAGCCCTAGTGGAAGAGTCCGTGCTGCCCTAGAAAATAGGTTCAAAGGATCTAGGAGGATAGGCAAAGGGTTAGGTTGGAGAAGATTTTTTGTTTTGTCTTGTTTGAGTGTTTTTCCCTCATTAAATTTGTATTTTTCAAAATGCCATTTTAAACCATGAGGCAACAGCCAGTTCAAAGTGATCTTTAAAATATGTAGTGTCTCACACAATGGTGAGCACATAGTAAGTACTCAGGAAGCACGTTGATTCCTTGGCTGTCTTTACACATTTTGCCAGTCACATGTTCATGACCACATTTGGGTCCTTTCAACCTTTCTGAGCATGTGCCCAGATGATTAAACACTGAGAGTAGATGGGAGTGGCCCCACTTTACAGAATGGTCTTTATTGGCCACTGGCCCAGAACAAGAGAATAGTCCAAGGCTGATCGCCTGTCCATAGCCTACCCTGCCTTGCATGGTTTGGTATCAGGTCTGACTTGCTGGTTAAAAAATATTAGAGAACCTAAAAAAAAAAAAAATTTAGAGAGCTGCTGTAGTCCTAGCTTTAGTTTACTTTTCAAAGGTGCTCCTAGTTTTTTATATATATATATTAGAGAGCTGCTGTAGTCTTAGCTTTAGTTTACTTTTCAAAGGTGCTCCTAGTTTTTTGTTTGTTTGTTTTTTAATATATTTTATTGACTTTTTACAGAGAGGAAGGGAAAGGGATAGAGAGTTAGAAACATCGATCAGCTGCCTCCTGCACACTCCCTTACTGGGGATGTGCCTGCAACCAAGGTACATGCCCTTGACCGGAATAGAACCTGGGACCCTTGAGTCCGCAGGCTGACGCTCTATCCACTGAGCCAAACCGGTTAGGGCAGTGCTCCTAGTTTTTATTTGTTTCTTGGTTTTATATTATTTTGTGATCTACTAGCATGAAATGACAAAATGCCTTCTAACTAGTATAAGATTAATGATATACTTATGGATATAAGAGGGAAAATGTTAATTTTTAATCACCAAATAGCATTTGTACTATACTGCTGTAATTAGTCTGCCTCTCCTTCCCCACCAACCTCCTCACCTCTCTGTCTCTCCTATCCCGCCCTAGGAGTGACCAGGGTTTCCCCCTCAAAAACAGGCATAGGTTACTTCTAAAATCTCCTAAGATTTTACTATTTAGAACAAGGGGTGGTCTTGGGCAGATCTTTGTATCTCTGTTGTTTGGAGCACATCTGCCCATTATACATTGTATGTGGATGGGATTTCAAAGAAATCACAGGTTCTTAAAAAAAAAAAATCCTTTCTACCTAATCCTAGCTGTAGTTTTGTGTGCTAGGGAGAAATGCAGTGGTATTTTGGAGAAGCTAAGATCTTTTAAATCTCATTAGATGTTTTTAGAACTAGCCATGTACATGTAACTTAAGGCATTAGCCAAGACAGCTGGCAAAGCTTTAGATACCATGTGGTTATACTCAGAAATATATGTTTTTCACAGATATTGCTCAGTACACTGAACTAGTTCATTTGACTTACACCTCATCCCTCAGGGTATGATTAAGAACCATTCTGGACCTTATAATTGATTTTGGGTCATCTACCTCATCAATGCTACTCAGAAGTGGCATTCTCTAAAGAAAGTGAGAGAAAAAGAATGATAGTTGTTAAGTAATTATGAGTTTAGCAAAGAAGACAGTTACACATCTTATGCTTGAGTCAAAACATTTGGTGAAACTTGAGCGAATAAACTTTCAGAAAGTGAGGGGGATATATCAGCATATTATGCTGTTATTTTTTTTTTAATTATTATTCATCATCTGAGAACAAACTTATTTTTTCTATTCAAATCATATTAAATTTTATACCAAGTGCTGGTTTATGGACGACAACATAATGGTGAATGAATTTTTACTGAATGCTGGCAAAAACGTATCTTTCAGATAAAGATTGTCAAGGTTGTAGTAGTCCTGTGTAAGGGATGTTAATATAATCTTATTAATAGCTAATTCTAGGATTAGTCATTGACTTCAAAATTTGAAGACCTCTGAGTAAAACACAAAGTTGCCCCTGTAAAACAAGAGAGAATTTACTTAATCCTTTTGCTAACCATGTTAGCAAAACAACTAGAATTTAGGTCCTCTGATAATCCTTTTGAAGGGCCTTCATCAAGACTAAATTGTCTTATTGTCCCTCCCCTCCCATTGCCATTGTGTCACTGGACCACATTACAAGGAAAGCCATCACTGAGGTCACTCTTGTGACTCTGGAAACCTATCACATGGCAGATACCGGCTGCCATTATTGAAAAATGGGACAAGAAAGATGTCAAAATGGAAGTTGTGGCAAAGAAACAATAGCTGAGATTTAAATATATATATATATGCCATTTATCTACAGCTGATTGTGAAAACCCATACCCAAACCTTGACACTTGGAGATGAGCTAAAGAAAAAAGAAAATGATGACTCTTGGCAAGTTTGATGTAAACACGAGTCGTAGGTCCTGATGTTGGCTGCTACGCAGGTAGGATCCAGTTTGTGTAGCCTAATTTCTGAGACACACATCACAAGTCACAGCTCAGAAATAACCTCTTTTGTAACATTTCTACTTTTATTATTTCTCTTTCATCTATCAAATCTCACCAAACAATTGGTACTGCATGGCTATCCTATTTTTTTTCCTTAAACAAACCCCAGCTACATTAAAGAGTTTGTACACGGAGACTTCGGGAGAACCAAGCCGAACATTGGCTCTCTGATGAATGTGACTGCAGATATTCTTGAGCTGGACGTTGAGGTAAACCATTTTATTATGGAAATGCCCATTTGCACCTTGAATTCAAAGTTATGCTTTTTTGGCATTTAGCCAAATAGTACTGCTTACCTTAAGAGGTGTTTGAAAATGATCAAAATCTCACGATAGCTTTATATTGCAGGGAGGGTCTATCTTGGAATTTTTATGTCTTTAAAAAACCCCACAAGATCTCATTTATCACCCTTGCAAAAATATATAGCTAACTTATTAATTTTTCTTTACATATGGCATGAGATCTAAACCCTAAAACCAAGCAAAGAAATGAAGTTGCCTTTCATATGTCCTTTGGACTCTATAGTTCATTCCCATACCAGTTTTGTCTTTTAAAGAATTTAAGGTAAACTACTGAGAAATGTATGTTCAGGACAGGGGTAGAAAATGGATTGAGCCGATGGTTATTAATAAAAGCAGTTCTATAAGGAACCCCTATGATGTGGTCCAAATTCTCCACTCTTATAATCTGAATTGAAACAAGGTTAAATTTGTAAGTAACTAGAAAAATGGACAGACTGGATCTTTCAGGAAGTTCTCCATCAATATTTTTCTTATTTGAGCAGCAGTAGGTATTGAGTCACAAGTTGTGCTCCTTGACGAATATCCCATTAGGAGTACAGCCCCTTCCCACCCCCACAACAAACATTTTAGGAGATGCTAACGTTTCGTACTTGGGAATTGTACCCATTATAAAAGGTGGGTAGAGTTGCCCAGTGTGAGAGCAGCTATGGCAATCAAGTGAGCCCTGGAACATTATTACCTCACCAGCAGGCCTCTTGAGTGCTTTCAGATGGGATCTCATACAGCTCAGTCAGTGACAGCATCTTCAAGGTTGCAGGTAGCCTCCTCAGGGAAACACCGTCATTCAGTCATTCTGATGAAGACAACTGGCTGTTAAAGAAAATCCCAGTTGCATTGTCTTCTTTGCCTTACTTCTCAGGACAGTTTCAGAGTGTCAAAAGAGCCACAGGCCAGTGTTTCTCAGCCCTGATTGTTCAATAGACTCACCTATAGAGCTTTTCAACATTACAACTGTTAGGTCGGAGAGAGCCCAGGATCGGATACATGCAGACGTGTGATGAGATAATGGACTCTCCCTAGCATTTCTAACAGATCAGCGTGCCAGACACAGATACTGACTCCTTCCTGAATACCTTGCTGACCCCCTGCAGCTGAAACTTCCTCAGCTGAATACCTCAGCTCATGTCCCCGCCCCTCACCCAACCGCAGTATAAAAAAGCGCCCACCTCCCTGTTGGCGTGAATCCACGTGCCCTGTCTTTGGGGTCCGTGGGTCTCCCGGGGACGCAATAAACCTTTCCTTTCCTTTTCTTTTCTTTTCT